CAACCACATCATAAGCACGTGAGGAATCACTGAGTCTCAGAAAACTTGGGGAACAGGAACTGAGGCCCTGGACCAATGTTGACTGCGTGGATGAAAAGGGCATTTTCTAGATCAGATACTTCCAGACATGCCCTGTGTAGCAAAAAATGAAGTTCACACATTGCTTGTAATTTGCCAAGAATTTGTGATGCTCAAGGTGGGAAAATCTGGTATACAAGTCCTGTGATTATGTTCCATAAAAAAAGGATCACAGTACTTGGTCATTGGCATATTCTGAAATTTTGCTCTCCACTACCAATGTTTAAAGGTTAGAAAAGTCATTAAACTTGAAAAAGTTACATTGATATTAAAATATTTTTTTCTAAATTCCAGTGGTCACTTGCTCAATCTTCTGTTTCAAAGACCACAAATAAAAAGCACAAATTTCTAAGGCTTTTCATATTTTTGTCTGTAGTCTGTTAGTATTTTGAGACTGATTATATAATCTGAGGAAGGGTGAAAGTGTCCCAGTGAATGTTTCCTGATTTCCTAACTTTGTTAATTAATCCCTAAAAACAGAGGAGAAGGGGATGCTGCTCCAGGTACAAGAATAAAACCAAACAAGTGATGAGGAAAGGATGCATTGTTTTCAGGAAGAATAAACTGGAGGTGTGGGAACGCAAGAGAAAACGGAAGTTATTTGGGAATAAATTTAAAGTCAGGTGTATCCAAATCATCAGAACAAAGATCGGAAAATTAAAGTTTATAGAGTTCATTACACCTTAACCGTAATATTCACATCAACCCTATTATTCTCCCTGTTGGGCCACACGGCTGCCAGGGCAGAGCTGGAGTCTGAGTCCAAGTGCTCTGGCAACATAGGAACGTTCTCCCCTTCACCCAGCCTCTCACTCAGCTGCTTCTGTGCCTGAAACCAAGCGGGCTTCCCACATGCTTGGAACCAGAAGTCCTGCCTCCAGCACCCGTGGCTCAGCGACCTCAGGCAAGTGACTTCACCCCATTGGCACTTGACTCGGCTAGGCAGTGAGAATTGGGACATCCTTATCTATCACTGAGTTGTTGGAATTTCAAATAAGACAGTGCTTTGTGACAACCTTCCTGCATGGAAGGGGTTGTTATAATTAAAACGCACCAACAAAAAGTCTGATGAGATGATTTCCCAGCCACTAGTTATTATCTTTAATAAGGCTCACAGTAACAATAGTTGGAAATAATTTCTCTCGCAATTTGGCACACATTGGGCCATCGTGGAGTTAGTATTGCATCCAGTTTATGTCTCCTCACCTCGAGGATGCTCTAACGTAGAGAAGTTCAAAGTAGTTTAATAATATGATTAAAGTGGTGAATAAATAAGACCCATGAGAACAAGTGAAAGGAGTTGAAATTAATTAGTCTGGAGACAATAATTGCCTCCTAATACATGAAACATTATCATAAGAAAAATGTAGACCAACTTTATCCATCTCTGAGAAATGACTTGAAAGTAACTGTGAAAATACAGTACAGAAATAGAAAGAATTTACCAATAGGCTGTTCAGGGTGTTATCAGAAGACGTGCAGTCTCCTTTGCTGACGACTATTCCAAAGACAAGCAGACACAAATCAAGTTTGTGTGGTCAAGGAGCAGGTTTACTTACAAACCAGGGCACTAGGAAAGCTAAATTTTTTAGCTCTTTCAGTTCTCAAGAACTCTATTAACCACCCTTGACAAAATAGGTAGATAGAAAATATTTCTATTCATCCTTGTCCAAATACTCAGACTACATGAATCTGTTACCATCCTAGAATGTCCTATATACTTAAGGTTTTTTTTTAGAGGGTGGGAGAAAGGTAGAAGTCGAGTTAATCTGAGTGTTTCATGGCACAGCATCCCGACTGACCTGACCAAGGCAAAAACCATCTTAAATGTGCTTCCTCCGATCATGATGCTCCTCACCACCTCCACCCTCCTTGCCCAACAGGTTCCTGCTCTAGTGTGTTTAGTGGAATGGAAATATGTAGCATTTTGCATGCATCTGTTTTTAATTCACATAAATGGATTTCATTCATTGTCTCCCACTTTCACCAGGCCATGTTGTTTCTGACTTCCACGTCACAGTCAGTGGCTTCCACAGCCTGTCCTTCCTCCAGAGGTGGGAGTTTCCAATTCCTTGCTTCCATGATGTTGCAGAAAACATATTCCCCTACACGCTTTTTGTTAGGTTTATCCCTCTTCCTTTTTTTGAGGAATGTGATTAGATAATCACGCATAATTGGTACATGTGCAATTTCTTTGCCAGATCATTCAAACGGCTGCATCCAGGTATAAAGGAGTTTGCGTCCCCGTCAGCATTGGGCATTGCAGACCCGGGCAGGTTCCCCTCTGCTGGGTGTACATGTGTATCTCATTGTTGACTTTCTTCTCTACTCACTGAGATAATAAACTCTCCATTTGTTCATATATTTCTCCATCTTTCTAGGAGTTCCATCTTCTTGATTCCAGGAGTTCCCTCTATAGGACAGCCATTATTCCTTTATCTATTTTTTATGTCCATTCCATTCATCTGTTTATTACAGCTGTCATAGGGACTGAGATTGCAGTGTTAATTTGGGGATTGTTGACACCTTTACACTGTCAAGTCACTCCATCTCTATGTAGATCTCCATTTAGTCAGATCTTTATTTTTCAGATCTTCTTTCATGTCATTTAAAAGAGTTTTAAATTTTCTCTCTAGAGGACTAAGGCCTTCATGATATCTCATGTGCTATGTAGTTCCCTCTGCAAACTGGCATTAACTTAATGTACACATTCAATAGTAGCCCTGCTTATGCCCTTTATGTCTGTAGTGTTTATAAACTCAAGACAAGGTCTGTTTAACTTCATCTGTGCAGTGACCACACAGCTCCATGTAAAAACAGATATTGTTATGTACTTTTGATTAAAAGATTCCTTATTTTTTCTCTTAAAATAGATCAAACAGAATGATCAATTCTAACAATTATTTCCAGAACAAAGAGTTGCTGAATCAATAATAATAGACTCAAGTAGTAAAATAATCCAGTCCCTCATATATAAAATTGTTATTGACGTCCTACTATGTGTGCAGTATGGTCTGTGGACACTTCTGATCCTGAGACCCTCTCAGGAAGTCAGTGAGTTAACAGTTATATTCATAACACTTCTAAGGTGTTACTTGCTTTGTTCACACTGTTGACATTTGCACTAAAGGTGCAAAAGCAGAAGTGGGTAAAACTGCCGGTGTCTTGGCATGAATTCAGGCAGAGGCGGCAAAACACACTGGTAGTCATGGTGCTCTTCACACATGCACTCAGAGTAACAACAGATGAAACACCGATTTTATTTATTAAGACTCTCCTTGCTGCGGCAATAAAATTACTAGTTTTATTACACCTAACCCTTGCATGTCTTTTTAGTATTTTTGTGATAAAACGGAAAGTACGCGTACTGAAGCACAAGGGCCTTTAAACGGAGCCATGTGTTGATTGTACATTGGCCGAGGTGACCCACCGGCCGCGCAACCTCATCGCCACGTCCTGGGGCCCTCGACGCCTCTCCGTCACTGCCTCGCGAAGCCCCAAACCTCCACGGATGGCTCTTCTGCTCCTGAGCAACGACGCGTGGACGGAGAGCTGCCCCGTGCCCCAGCTGACCCATCCCTGTCCACGACCTCAGCCTTCCGGTGGGCCTGGCCCTGCCGTGGGGCCCCACGGTGCCCTCCTGGTGACTCGGCGCCCCACTCTCCTGGGTGACCATTTCACGTGTTTTCTCAGCCGGTAAGGACCCTGCGTTCCTTCAATGACAAGTGAGCTTCCACGCCCCTGGCCGCGCGCGCCGGCCTCCTGCGGATGCAGCCTCTGCTCTCCCCCAGCCGCCGTGGACGGGCTGCCGGCCTCCTGTCCGGAGCCGCCACCCCCGCCTGGACTCTGGTCCCCGCTCGCCTGCCCAATGGCGCCCTTGCTCCGACAGGCACCCCCTGAGTTTCCCGAGCCCTCGGTCAGTGTCCGCGGTCCTCGAGTTAAGCTTCGCTCCCTCCATGCCCTGGAACCGCCTTGTCGAGGCCATCAGCGGCCCCCACGTTGTTGACCTAACGACCATTCTTCAGACGTCCTCTTACTCAGACCCTGGGCAGCACTGGACGGTCACTCGCTCCCTTCCTGAAACGCGTCCCCTTCCCCGCAGGCACCACCCTCTCCTCCTCTGTCTCGCTGGCCCCTCGCCCCCCAGTCTTCTCAGCACGTTCTCCCCCATCTTCCCGGCCAGTATTACCCGAAGCCCCCAGACCTCAGTCCCTGGAGCTCCCGCCTTTCCCCCCTCGCGCTCCCGTGTGGATCTGATGGGGCTGGGGTCCCCTGGGGCCCTTGCCCCTCGCAGCTCCGTGTGCCCGGAAGGCTGTCCTCGGGAGGTCTGCGCTACGTGCTCGGCCTCCCCACGGCCTCCAGGCCTCCGCACGGATGTCCTTCCGTCCTGGGACACCCCTTGACCCCGCACCCTTCTGCTTCTGGGTGAGGGGGGCTTGAGCACCGGCATTTCTCTCGGCACTCTACTCAAGCTCAAGGGAACGACAGTTACTGAGCGCACTTTAGGTCCAGGAACTCGCAAAGACAAAGAGCAAAAAAAGAGAGATGAATCACGGAATGTCGGGCCCTGGAAAGAAGACATAACAGAGAACACATGCCAATTCTCATTCCTTTACTTAGCTTTGTTTTTCTCAGTAGCACTAAACCTAGATACATGTAAATAAATAAAAATATAAGATATATGTTTACTCAAAAAATTTTTGTTTTCCCCACGCTTCCTGGACGCTTCCAGAACCTAAGCTGCGTGACAGCGGCCCTCTCAGTCTGGCCACTGGTGTGTGCCTAGGCTGTGAGATCACAGGCTTGTTCAGAGCAAATTTTTGACTGAACCGCTGGGCAGCACACGTTTTGGGGAGGGAGTAGGGCTATGGCATCAGCTTCTGACTGGGACGCTAAATCCGAAATGTCTATTGGTTATTCAGGTGAAGACACCAAGTGGGAGTCTGGATGTTCAGAGCTGAACACAGGGCTTGGGGTGAACACGTGAACTTGGGAGTCCTCAGGACCAGGTGAGGGCCCCTGGGGGGGTGCGGACACAGAAAGAGGAAAATGCCAAGCTCGGAGCCCTGAAGGACCCCCTTACCTAGAAGCCAGACAGCGGGACGTCTTCACAGAGTATGACCTGTAAGAAGAAGAAAAATAGTTTAGATTGAGCAGTATGATTGTAGATATTCATTTACTTATAAATTATGAATATATATTATTGCCCAAATATATATATTATAAAATACACATAGATATTTAAAAAGCATGAGCTGAAGGTCTTCTGGTTAAAGAGGAAGTATTGACCACATGCACACCCCCAAGACACCACACTGACAATACGTGGATCTCTAAGCACAAGGTATAAACGCACAGGACAAAGAGAGCTCTATCATCAGAATATGGGAAGCTGGAAAGAGGAATGCTGAGTGGCAGCTGGCTCAGGCCCAGGAAAGCGGAAGCTGCCGTGGGGAAGCCAGAGCAGGGTTTGCGGCACAGAAACCTGTCTCCACCCCCACCAGAAAGCCGGAGGGGCTGGCGACCGGCACCCCTAGTGGGGAGGCTATGCCAGGCGATCTGTTTAAGAAGCGGCTGCACCCAGAGGCACCACCACCCTGCACTGCCAGGTGGCTGGCCCTCTGTGACAGCCGGAGGCTTATTTTCTGGAGAGGACTGAGCACAGAGTCCTGACAGAGCCTGCAAGCTTGAAGGGCGGAGTTCCACACGGAAAACAGGTACATTAGGTCAAGGTTAACATCGGGAAGCTTAAAGCTGAAATACCAAGGAGCTGCATGTGTTTCTTAGGGATATGGTGGCAAATAACAAAAAAAACATTACTTTGATGTGTAACAATGATTGCCAGTGGAATTCGCCAACATAAAGGGAAATTTAAAGAAATGGAGGTTGTAATTCTCTGTATTTCTTAGAGCCATTCAAATATTTATTTCTATTTCTTTTAAAGTGCATGGATTGTTTGAACATTATCTTGGTACATGAATGCAAACTTCTTGACTAATTGCATTCGTTGCATTCTGGACTGGAAGTGGGCAGGAGCTGATCTCTTCTGCTGTATGAACTAGTGACCGAGAGGCGGCTCTGAGTACCACATCACCAAAACTTATTTGCACATTTCACATGATGTATTTGTATAGCTAAAGAAATAACACTTGGAGACACAATAATAATATCTTGGTTTTACAGTATTACATCTTGATGTTTATATACACTGGTATTCAGCATATTCTCTATGTCAGTCACAATGAGACTGTCTCTGTTCTTAGAAGTCACTATGCTCTTTTTATTCTTGGCCTGCAGTGTCCTTTCCCTCTCTATCTGCCTGAAAGACTCCCACCCACCTTACACGACCATCTCAGCTGCAACCTCTTCTTTAAGGGCCCGACTCCCCTCAGCGGTCATTACTCCATCACTTACATAATACAGCACCTTGTTTGTACTTGGACTGCGGCAGCCCCTGCATTGCTTCATGATCATGTCTGCTAACTCCCTTAGCCTGGATACAATGTCTTACTTATATTTGTAGTCTACTAACCTACCACAGTGCTGGGCATGCAATAGTCATTCAATAAATGTTTAATTAGATATTTGAAAATGATTCTCTGTTATCTCATTTGGTTTTCCCAGATCCGGTCAGTCAGTAGGCCCAGTGGCTCTGCATGTCCATCACATCCGTCGCTTCTTGGCTGTGACACATACCATGCCAGTACCCCCTGCCAAGGTTTCGTGTTCTTGCTGTCCGTGGCTTGGACTATTAGCATCTTAACCTGATGTTGGTCCCTAATCTCACTCTCCTCCAATTAATACCATATTTGCCCATCAGAATGACTTAACCACAAAATTTACCGTGTTCTCTGTACCTTAAAACTTTTAAGGTGGCAACATACACTTATGATAGAGAAAGAGTATATTTATCCTCCTGCTTTAAACAATCAGAAACCGGACAAAGCAATCTTTAGACTTCAGACAGCAGGCGGTGCAGAGTCCTGGCCCCTCAGAGGAGGGAGACCGATAGAGGAGTCCTCAGTCTGGCCTCGCCTGCTGTCTGGGACATTTCCGGGCCTGACAGAGAGAGGCAGGACCGCAACAAAGCCTGGCAGGCTGGCTGGTGGAAGAGGCAGATTCAGAGTTCGGAGAGGAGGGTAGGTAGGACTTGTGAAGCGAAACTCTGAAGTGAGAGCCTTGGGGGTGCGGGGGTAGCTCCAGAGGCCCTTCAGGGCTCCCCACATCTCACGGGTGCATGCTGCTCTGAGCGCGCATGGAAGCGCCTGCCCGAGGCAGGGGACAAGCCCTCAGGAGGGAACCTGCTGAAGGGTCCTCCAGCCCATGCAGGCTGGCGACAGTCCGTCCCAACCAGCCGGGTGGTGCACCCGCCCTATGCCGGGCACTAAGGAGGGCCCTCTGAGGGGTGGCACCTCAGTGACGGGGACTGAGTCCTAGCAACAAGGCCCAGCACCTAACAACATGAAAATCAGTAACGTCAGCATCTGGTCGAATATTTCCAAGTATGCAAACAAGCAGGCAAATGCAGCCCATAACCAGGAGAAAAGTCCATCAACATACAGACCGAGAGGTAAGAGAGGGAAGGGTCGGCAGGCAAGGGGTGGGAGTAGTGATTCTACATGCATTCCTTACGCTCAAGAAGGCAGCGGACAAGACGAGGGGGGCGGAAGCCACTGAAAAAGCTGAACTTCTACATACAAAACATACATGACCTGAAATGAAAAGTGACTGAATGAGATAATGGCATATGACATACCGCAGCAAAGAGATTAGTGAATTGGCGACACAGCAGTAGACACTATCCAAAATGAAATAAGATGAGAAAAATTTAAATAATCATAAGACTAATGAGCTGTGGGACAGTATCAAATAGTCTAATAACATATGTGCTATTGGACTATCAGAAAGGAAGGGCAATAGAAAAAAATTTTTAGAAAACAATGGCCACAATTTCTCCAAGTTTGATGAAAATTACATGCCATAGATCCACAAGAACCTCAATGAGCCTCAATCAGCATAAACATGAAGAAAAGCACATCAAGACACACCATAATCAAATCACTAAAAACCAGTGACTAAAATGAATATCGTAAGAGCACCCAGGGAGAGGGACCCTCTGTTCAGAGGGCTGAAGATGGACACGGCGGCAGACTCTTGGTCAGGAGGCACGCAGGCCAGGGGACAACGGAGGGGCGTCGGTACAGAAATGAAACCACAACAAAAAATCGTTTGACCAGAAAAAATGTTTTAATAAAGAAGAAAACTTCTGCTTTTCCTTAAGATGTGGAAAATTAGAAAGAGTGCTGTTTCTACGATAACAATGAGAAAAAGTTTGTAACAGTAAGTTTTCCTGAACCCATCAGAGAGATAAGATTACCGGGCAGCCATGAGGTGTGGAATTCAGACAGACACACCTCTCCAGGGAGGGGGAATGTGAGAACCGGTTCATCTGTGACGTAGAGGGGAAAAAACGGTACACACCATAAAAGCATGTCAGAAGAATACAGCCAAAAATGTAAGAAAGTGGCTAGAAAGGCTGAGTGTGGGCTCACATGAGTGTGTGGGTGTCTGGGGCCACACACACACAAGGGGGTCGGCGCCTCCTGGCAGCCCCTCCTCCCTGGTGCTCACAGTGAAGACGTGGGCAGGACCAGGGCCAGGAAGAGCTTCCTTCAGCGGTGTGGGGCCCCTGGAAGGGATTGTTTGCTGCTGTGGGAAAGACACACAGCACCTCCTGGAACCCCTACCCCTGTGAGATAAAGCCTTAGGTCACGGAGCTGGAAGCGACCACCCCAGCTGCTCCCAGGACACGGGAAGGACCACCGTGACTGCTGCATGGGTGAAAGAGAAATGCCCTGTACTCCCAAGAGCGAGGCAAGCACCAGTCCTAGACACAGATGCTGTGTCAGTCAGTACCGTTAGAGGACCGATACTGGGGGCCGTGCTGGGGGTGGGTGTCCTGAGCCCCCTGAACAGCTAGGGTATTAGGCAGAACTCGGCTGTTAAGGGGGGGAGGCACGGGGTCATGACAAGGCCCACCACAGACCCAGACTCAGAGCATAACTCAGACCGAGCACTAGGACGACAGAGAAACTCACCCCTCTCCCCTGATAGCAGGCACTGAAGAAGCGGCATCTTGGGCTGGGCTGGGGAAGAGGCAAGATGCGGAGAAAGGCCTCCAGGGGGCACAGGCGGGCAGGGAAGGCGGAAAGCTGAGGGCACAATGGGAGCACGGGAAAGAGCATTCAGCAAATAGTCCCCAACCCTCATCAAATGCCAAGGCTATGCCTACCTATTAGGAAACTTAGATAAAACGGACAAAATCCTTGAAAGACACAAAGTAGCACGGCTTACTCAAGAAGAAAGAAATAACTATAATAATCAGTGTTTACTAAAGAAAATGAATTTATAGTTAAAAATCTACACATAAAGAAAACTGCAGGCCCAGGTGACTTCACTAGCAAATTATACCAAGTGTTTAAATATGAAATAATACAAACTCTATACAAATTCTTCCCCAAAATAGGAGCGGCGGGAACATTTACCACATCATTTTTTAAGGCTAACATTACCCTGGTAACAGAATGTGACAAAGACATAACAGAGGGGCAAACATAGACCACTACGTCTCCAAGACATGCAAGCAAAAGTCCTTATCACAATATTAGCAAATCACATATTTTATATATATATATATATATATATATATATATATATATATGCATATACACACACACAATTTTATATATAAAACACACAGTTGACACTTGATCAACATCAGGGTTGGGGTGCCAAGCCCACCACAATTGAAAATTGGGTATAACCTTTGACCACCCCCAGATTTAACCACTAATGGCCTTCTGTTGACCAGAAGCCTTACTGACATGAACAGCTGGTTAACGCCCATTTTTAATGTTACATGTATTACCTACTGTATTCTTGTAATAAAGTAAGCTAGAGAAAAGAAAATGGTTTCTCAAATTGTCACAAATTTCCACAAAGTTTTCCAAAACATTTACTGAGAAACAGTTGTGTATAAGTGGACCTACACAGCTCAAAGCTGTGTTATTCAAGGGCCAACTGTATATGTATACATAAAACAATGCATCAGGACCAAATGTAGTTTTTCTTGAGAACGCAAGGTTGGCTAAACATTAGAAAGTTAGTCAGTATAATTCACAGTATTAAGAAGCAAAGAAATGATACAGCTTTCTCCATAGATAAAGACAAAAGTGTTTGACAAAATTAAACACCCAGGCATAATAAAAATTCCTGGAAAACTAGGAATTAAAGGAAGCTTCCTCAATCTGATAAAGGACAGCTACAAAAAAACACATAGCTGACATAATGCTTTATGGTGAAGGCTGCATGCTTTTCCCCTAAGTTTGGGAGGAAGGGGATGATATCTATTCTTATTGCTCCTTTTCAACATCCATACGGCTCAGAAGTTCCACTCCTAGAGATTTACACGAGAGAAACAACACACGTCTTCATAAAGACTTCATAAAGCACAGGAATATTTGTAGAAACCTTATTCATAATAGTTTCAAACTGGAAATAATAAAAATGCCATCAGTTTATGAAAGAATGAGCATACGGTGGCATATCCACCCGAGGGCCACTGCTCCACAAGAGGAACAACACGACATCCTGACACACGAAGCGGCGTCGGTGGTTCTGTGAAGCATCAGTCAGTGAGGGAAGTCACACACACAAGGCCATCTGGAATTCTTCCACCGCAGGAAACTCTAGAAAAGACAATCCGTAGGATCAGCAGCGTGATCCGCATTTTCCAGGGGTCGGGGAAGGGATGGGCCGCAAGACAGTGGCTTTTCACCGCACGCGGAGTTCTGTGGCACGACTGCAGTGGCAGCGACGCTATCGTGTCCATCCGCTTACATTCAGTGAATTTTATTTATGTAAGTTGTACTGCAATAAAACCAGCAACAAATGTTCAACAGCAAAAAATAGACATTTAGGGACTTTAGGTTGTCCATGGTCCAGTTTGCTGAGCCACAGGAGCCACCCGAGGGGGTAAGAGAAGGGCTGTCCCACGGCCGCGGGCGGAACAAAGAGAAAGTGAGGGGCGGTTTCTGAAGTGCAGGTAGAGGAGCTGCAAAAGGAATGAACCGACGGCCTGGGAAGGGGCGACTGAGGCTGCGGAGACGGGCTCCTGCGCGTGGAGCTTGTCGGTGGTCCTTGAGCGGAGCCTTGCCCACCTTTCCACCCACCTTGCTTCTCTCTCTTTCTCTGTCGGGTCTCTCGGGTTCCTTTCTGCCTTCTCACAGTCTGTGCGGGGCACGGGCCCTTTCCGGCTCGGAACCCTCTCTAGGCCATCCATTTCTGCGTGTTCCGTCACCACCCCAGCGACGGCAAAGCCAGGAGAGGCCACCCAGGTAGTTTCTTTTCTGCACACCGACAGCGTTCTAGGGCAGCGAGACTAGCTGCCTGAACAGGGTCTGGGAACGGAGAGAGGAAGAGGGGGCATTTACGGGAAAAGGCAAAGATGGGCAAACGTGAGCAAGAGGAACATTTGTTGGTATTTCAAGATTTCCTTTCAGACTTAGCAGCACGCTTGCCTAGCACCCTGTATTTATTTTCTGAAGCATAAAACACACTTGTGACATGTAACATCTGTCTCCTGGGCTAACCTGTTATCTCTTCAAGGATCTGTTTTCTAGAATCCCCAAGCAGGGTATGTTACTTAGTAATCACCCAATAAATATTGTTTGCCTAACTAATTCGTGCCTTAGCTCAACTGATTGTTTGAAGTATTTTAACTGTGTTACCTACTTACTCCCAGAAATGAGTATGAAAATGTGATTATGATTACCAGGGAATTTCTAACCAGGACAAACAGTTGTCAGCCTGTAGGACGAGTAGCATGTGCCTATGTATGGTTTAGGGGTGTATTAGACCTGCAGAAAACGGGTTAGTTGCTGCAAGAACTTTCACCTAAGTCCCTAGCTGCTTCCCTGCTGCGGCTTCTGCCCTCCTGCTGGCCTGAGGGACGTGCATTCAGAGCTGGTCGCAAACCGGCATTCAGCTCTCCCAGTGACACCAAGATTTTAGAGCAGGTGATCTCAACAATGGAAATGAATACCATTCTGACTGTATAAACAAGTAGTCACAATACGGAAGCAAAAACCTCATCTCCTCCTTCCTGGTCATAAATAAGACACCCTGTTGCAAATACCCCAAAACCACTGTATGTTGAAAGAAAAAGAAATGGTAAGTGTGGAAAAGCCCACAGATAAGTGTCTAGGAACGGTCCATGATTTGCGGGTGGCAGGGCTCATGGGGGTGGGGCAGGAAGGACTGAGGGTCACCTGAGTTCTGGGGTCTAGTCACTGCAGTGCCTGAGCTGTGTCCCCCTCATGGAAAGCTGCCTGCCCGCAGCTGCTGGTCCAGGGCGAGGCCACCGCCGCATCTGGGCACCAGAGGGAGCAGGGCGATGCTTCTGAGGGACCTTCCCTCGCCTTTCATTCCGCTGAACTCAGTGAACAAAAGTCTCCTGAAAACAGATGTCCTACCAAGCCAGGCTATTCACTTACACCGAGAGTCTCACTGCAGATTCCCCGCCATTCCCAATCAAGCCTTTCCTGGAATACGCGCCTGGACGCAGTCCTGAACTGTCATGTCTGTATAAACGCTAGCCTGCAATTAGTTCCTAATGGTTTTACTAACTCAACAGTCATTCACTCAACATGAGTTTCTAAACACCTTCTGCAGCCCAGGTATTGCTCTGCTTTTTGTCACTGTCCTCATGGATTGTAAAATACAGTGGGAGAAACATACCGTGATAGACAGACAAGTATGTACAAGAGGGGTCCTGATGTCAGCTGTGGCTCTGGGTGATCGTGATGTGTTAGTGTAGGTTTATCAGTTATAGGCAACGTGCCCCCCACAGGGGAGAGACTGATCAGGGGGAGGCTCTGCATGTGTGGGGCCAGGGGCCATACAGGAAATCTTTGTACCACCCTCCCAATTTTGCTATGAACTTAAAACTGCTCTAAGAAATTTAAATATGTATATATGTACATATGTATTTATGTAAAAGAATCATACATAAAAAATGAACAAGTAAACGATAAGATTACAAATGGCACTAGGTGCAATGAAGGAAATAATAGGGAACAAGAGAAGCCAAGTGAAGTGACTTATTTCAGGGAAAGTCTCTCTGGGTGATGCTTGAGTTGAAATCTGAAGAATGGGGAGCTAGCAGTGGGGTACGTGTATATGTGAGTCTGAATATTCTAGAGGAGAGATAGATATGAAGTCCAGGGGTAGGAAGGGCAACGCAGATGTGAGAGGCTGAGGTGAAAGCCAGCAGACAAGACAGACAGGAGCTGAAGTCTGAGAGGCAGAGGCATGACCATGCAGGGCCGTACAAGACACAAGACAACCAGTCAGGATGGTGTTCTACTGACACGGGAAGCCACCGAGGATTTTCAGGACAGTACAATGATCCCTGCTGCGCACAGAAACGGTTATGGAGGTGAGAGCAAACAGGGCTGAGTCAGGACAGCCTCCTCCACTGCGGCCGGACTGTAAGAGTGAACGGAATAGGCTCTGCCCCTCACGGCCTGGCCCTGGGCACCGGGAAGGCACCCAGGGCATGCTTATTCAGAGAGCCAAAGCAATATTCACTCTGTGACACGATGAGCTTTCCTATCTTAGTAACACTTAAAACAGTAAGTAAACAATAGGTGTGTGCGTTAAAATGCCTCGCATCATGGAACAAACACCTGTTTTATTTTTACATCTAGAATTGTGAATAAAATGAAAACCACATTCACCCAGGCAAAAAAGATGAACAGAGAGAAGAGAGATGACAATTTCTTTCCTGTTGCCCATGATACTATTTCCTCCGACTCATTTTTCTGTGAATGTCTTTGGCTAATTTAAGGAACCTATTCTTAACTTCAGGAACCATATGTAGTTTCTAAATGTTATGCCCTTAGAAACAGCTTAGGGCTTTTTTTTTTTGGCTGGGGATGGAGGTTACTCATACTTGATCTTTATAAAAAGTGTTATCTTAATAATGAATAATCTGAGTTGGAGCACATTTTGAATGTTTGATGGGGATAGTAAAACAGTTTACATCTCTTACTCATTAAAGCCATGGCATTCCACTCCTAATTGGGCATGCACAATATAATGTGGACTTTCACTCCATGATCACACAATTCGGAATAATGGGTCACTTAATTCAGCAATGATTTGATCTACATAAGTAGATCCACAGCGCTGGAAAGATCAGAAATACGTTTCATCTGTTTTTACATTTCTGCTTTGAGTATATTCACCAAGTCTAAAAAATAAAAGCAAAGTCTAAATCAGTTCTTTATACATTACAACCAAGTCACTTCCCTATTATTTCTATTTAACTTGCTTTAATAAAAAAAGTCTTCATGAGATGAAATGGCTTCATGGCCAAAATTATGCACAGATCAAAGATGTGGCCTCTCAGGCTCTCAGTGAACGTGGCTTTTTGACAGTGGCTGACAGCACCATCCCCTGTGACAAGCTCAGCCTCCGGAGATCCCTACTCCTCCAAACAAACGTGCTGGTGCCCCCAAAACCTGCCAATCATGTCTTCAGAATGAAGCACCTTGGGCATAAATTTGTGAGAATGACATCCATCTGGTGTGGGCTGTATTCAGAAAGGTATATACTACAAAGAAAAAGTCTCCAAAAAATTAGGGATATGAAAATTGTGTTTAAGAGTAGTGTTTAAGTAATTATAAAATTACTTAGGAGTTTTATATTTTTAACTCTGTCAACGGCATTATTGTCTCTGGTAATTGTAATCCAAGATTGACGTATAGCTTTTTCATGACCAATTTTGGTTGTTAATATTATTTAGTTATTGATAGACCTAATTACATTCTTAGCCTATACTAATATATTAATAATGCTGCTGCTGCTGAATCGATCATTTGTAACATGTTTTGAATGATTACCACGTACAAGCACTGAGCCAAACACTTCCCTGGGACCATCTATTCTATCCTCAGCACAAACCCATGAGCCGGGCGTGACATCCCTTCTACTGGTGATTCAGAGGCTTTGTGCTCTTACCTAAGCAGCACTTCCCTGGAGAGGAAATTGGTTGGAATGTCCTGCTCTTCCAACCACTGGAAGAGGCGGTCCAGTGTCCTCATCAGCTTCACACTCCCTTCAGAGATTCTGTCTCTTGGACAACCCAAGACTGTGTGCTAGGATCTGTGTTGGACCAGTAACAGGGTATTTCTGCTTTTCTTGACAGTTGAGAAAACTGAAGCTCAAAGTAAATGCATAACTCGTCAAAGTTGAAAATTGTAATTTTGGAGCCGGAGCCGAGTTTGATTATGACCCCACCGTTCACTAGCATGGCTATCTCTGCCCAATGTTTAAACCTCTCTGAGCATGTTTACCCTTAAATCATGCTGATAGTAATGCCTAGACTGTGGGGTCCTACTGTGAAGATTAAGTAAGAGCCTGTGTCAGTGCCTGCCACAGAGTAACTGGCCAATGATGGAAGCTTTCCTCCAGCTGGGATTTGCCAGCCTCACATAGAGAAGAGCTGGTGCCCACTTCTTGCCAGGCAGGCACAGACACCATCTAGGATGTGTTTTCCTTATTATCGAAGAAGGGGATGTTCCATGAAGCCTATCTTCACTATGGAAGAACTCTGGACCCCAATTTCCTCCTGGAAACAAATCTGGAATTTAATTTTGCCAAGGTGACAAGTAACTAACTGCAAGGTGTGATCATTAGGTATGCTGACTTATATGTTCTTTTCTTGACGCACCATAATCTCTTATAAGATAAAACAGCGAGAAGTTGACTTAACACTTTTTTTGTTTCAACTTAGTAAGAGATGGGTAAGTCGGTGAGACGGAAGAGCAGTCACTGAATGACTGGCAAATATTTGGTTCCTGTCTACCAGGGGAAGTAGATGAACAGGTGTATTCTTCCTGTAGAATGGAATTTGAAACAACAAATAGGCTGGGAAAGGCTTCTATGAATTTTAAAGAATTCCTCGATGTTAAAAAGAAAAATTCTCAGTTGCATGTTTTTACCTTTGGATTTTGAAGTGTTAAGATGTTTGCTCTTTTTCTTAGAAGAGAAAGAAAATGTTTGCAGGAGTTGAAATGTCAGAAACCATTCTTCATGCCTTCAAGGCCTGGATCAACAACTTCAGGATGGGAAGATCAAGAAGAAACAAAAGTAGAGTGGGGTGCCTGTCAGAATCCTGAACAGACGCTCCCTCGCTGGACCGCTCGTTCATGCCCGGCCACCCCGTGCGTTCTTCTTACTGAGTCTCTGCTCAGCACCTTGGCTACCCGGGCCCCCCTCGCTCGCTCTTTCCTGTCCTCCTAGTCACTGTCTGTTAGAGCCCGGCTTGCCCTCCACCCCCGGCTCCAGCTCCTGGGTTTGCGCTGGCCTGGGTTCCTCCAGGCTGACCTCCACTCCTCTCGGGCTCCAACTCCCATTCCAGGCAAACCCTTGCTGAGCGCTTGCGTGCTTAGTTCCCTCCCCTGACTGCCTCCGACCCACCCTGGAGGATGCACCAGGCACACGTATACAGCGTAATAATATAATAGCCACATAGGTAATATATATATATGAATATGTGTATATACATAGATACATATATATATAACTTAATAATAGCTTTATATATATATATAAAACAATAATCAATAGTTTCCATTTTGGGAACTGGTGATTAGCCTAATATATGAAAGAATCGTAATTTTAAAAAAGCATTTTCTAATACAAGTCCAGTCCATCCTGGCTGAATTCTATGTGGTACAAAGATGAGTGAATGAAGAAAACAGTGCTCAATTTGGCCAGGATCTCCTTGTCTTTTGCTTATATTTTAGAACAAAAGGAAGATTCAGAGGATAATAATTTTTGTTTAATAATTCAAGCCAAGTAGAATATGACAATAAGTGAATAAGCATTATAGAAATGTCCAAAATTAATGGTTGAAACTATATCCTAATATTTTAGTTTTATTCATAGCTAAGTCTTATCCGACTTCAAATTTAAATTGAAATAACCAATAATTATAAAATTCCTCATAACATTTAAAAACCCTTTCCTTAAACATAGTTAGCTTTATTGTTATTATCAGTCAACTCTTTTCCAGCATTAATCTTATATATTGGAGGCGACATACTCATTTATAACATGTATTCTTTAAAGTGAAAATCCCTTCTACATTACTGATGCTATAAACCTTATCAACAGTCATGGGAGACATGCCAGAGCACCCTGGCCTTACTGCAAGCCCTGTTCATAAATATTGAGACATACTTTAGCTCCTGTAAATGCCTAATATGTGTTTTGTGTCATGCTATGTTTAATGTTGCTTACATAATGCATTACACTATTAGTAACTCTTTACCCCATGCTACTTCTGCTACCAACTAATTTTTTTTAATTATGTTTTCTTTTAAAGAAGATAAAACAAATTTCTGACATAAATAATCTAAAAAACTGTAACATCCACCCTTCCCTACCAGTTTTCAGAAATTTCCCTGTTTACTGACTTATTCAGCCATTTATTCACCAAATATTTTCCAAGAGCCTTTTATGTGCCAGGCAGTACTATGCAGCGTGCTCGAGCATGTGCATAAATACAAGATGACTATTCTCCGAATGATCTCATAGTTTAGATGGAAGGTCAAGAGATCATGCAAATAGTTACAATACAGGATGATATGGGCTGAAACAGTTACTTACAAGTTGCAGGAAAAAAGCCTTCTTTCTAATCGCACTTATGGAGGGCTACACAGAGAGCATAACATTTGGGCTGGCTTTGAAGAATGAGCACAGATGTTGCAGAGGTAAGGCATGTAGAACGCATGTTTCAGGAGGAAGCATCTGTATGCACGGAAGCTAGAACTGTGTAAGGAGAGCGTCTGAACCCATGAGGCGGCGCAGTACAGCGGGGCTGCGGGGGATGTATGCCAGGGAAGGGATGTCAGCAGAGTGTGGGAGGGCACTTTTTAAGATGGTTTTGACTTGGCACTATTTGTGATAGAGGCCAAAGATTCAGCAGAAGGAGAAGAGATGGATGATACAAAGTAAAAGAAGCAATTCTACGTGGCCCTCAAATCTGTTTTGTATTATTCCTTCCCACATACAATGAAAACTCCATTTCTGGCTTCCTTGCTATTAGGCGAGGCCATATGATTAGGCCAATAAATTGTGAGCAAAACTTTAAAGTGTTACTTCTGGGTGGGAGTAGTGAAAAGCTCTTTCATTATTTTCCAGTGCTTGGTTATTTCCAGTGTCCAGAGGGAACCACATGATTATAGCTGCCTGAGTTCATGAGTCACCATAACAAAGACAATTGCCCTGGACAGTTGCCTGGAATTGCAGTGGATTTTTTGGAAAGAATAAATTTAAAAAATTTTATTAAGCCTTTGAGTTTAGGGATTTTTGTTACTGCAGCATAGCATAGGTAACCCTGACCAAAACAAATTAGAAACCCAGTATGTAATGGACATACAATTCAAAGGAGACAGAAGATGGATTCAAGAACTTAAGGGATCTGGGGAGAAATGGGGCCACTTCTTCCTCTGAGACATGTAGGAAAGTTGAAGGAGGGAAAAAATAGAGGAAAATTTGGAGGTATAAAAAGGGAAGTTGAAAGAGTTTATTCATGATGGGCAGTACATTCTTGTGATATTAGAAATTCAGCCTCCTGATGAGAGGATGCTGGCAGGACTGAGGGAAGTACAAGTATTGGACAACCGCTGAGAAGACAGCCACTACAGAGACAGGAAGACAGCCAGGCTGACAGACGGCCGGGATGCAGACGGCGTGGGCCCCTTGCGCCTGCAGCTTCCGCATTTGCAGCGGGGTCAGTAGACACGTGTTTGCCATTTTCTACAGCAGTGACTGCCAGCCTGGGAGGAAGAAAGAAAGAACAAATAGGGCTTGGAAAATGAGTTATGGTTGGAAGAATCAATTTCTAAATAATTAAGGAGGCTTGGGAAAACCTAGTCGAAGTGATTGACAAGTGCTCAATCCAAGCAGGAAGCCAGTGAGGCCAGAGGCTGTTCAGAGCAAAAGACTCCGGAGGCCGGATGTGTCAGCGGGGTCAAGGGGAGAGTCCAGCGACACGGGGGGCCTGGCGGCGCCGGGGCCGCGTGACGTCCGGGGCCGCGTGACGTCCGGGCCCCCGGCCGGCTGTCCGGTATCAGCACGTTAGTCCATCTTCTCCTGTGCCTCGGTCTCCTCGCAGGACATGGGAGTCACACTGAAGGGCTTTGGTGGCGACGTCGTGAGCGCGCTCGGGGTGCGGCGCTCTGGAAGGGGCTGCGCAGGGCAGGGCTCGGGCGGCGAGCCTGCGACAGGGAGACAGGAGGGCGCCCACTGCGGATGTATTGAGGAGGAGGCCCCGGGTCACTCTGGGCAAGATTTTAAAAGAAAAGCAGAAGCGTCCGGGCAGGGGGAGAGGGAGACAAGGCGGGAAGCTCCCCGAGGGGCCGAGGGGTCACCGTGAGCTGCTGTCCTGGGCAAGGGACGAGGAACTCGGTGACTTCTGATTTTCATTTATCTCAACCTGACACATTATCTTCTTTTCTACGATGGCCATTTGTAGTATTTTTAGATTGTGTGTATTCTTAGGTGTAAGCAAGAGCTGACTGCAGGCTCTGTCATTACATAGACAAAATCTAAGTCCATGTACACATCTAAAATTGTCGAGGAATAAATGATTCCCCTGTTATTAGAACTATACCAAACCATAGAAAATGATGTCAAACTTATTAATGAATTTTATGAAGTTGGCATGTTAATACTAAGGCTGGAATATAATAATAGAAAAAAGTAATAGTACAATTTCACTTGCGAATATGGATGCAAAATTATTAATTAAAAAATTAGCGAATAGAATCCACAGTGTATCAGTACAGTAGTGACCCAGTGCAGCTCATAGCCAAGATGCAAACATGGTTTCATGTTAAGTCCTCTTTCAATTACATGATTTATTACACAATATGTTAATGGCTTAAAATTATGTTAATAGATGCTAAAAAGGCATTTGGTTAAATTCAGCAGCCATTTCTACTAAAACTACAATCAAAATAGGAATAAAAGGAAACTACTTAAATATGGTAAATACTACTTATGCAATAAGAGCAAACATTAACCCAAGAAGTTCTATTTTTAAATTGTTATAAGAGAATTTGGTAACATGCCTTTTATACACAATGTCAATTTTAAATCAATAGTGTTGCTCTATACTAGAAATAATCAGGTAGATAATCCACATATAATAGTACAAAAACTTTAAAATATTTTAAAATAAATAATAAGGTACAGGGTCTATAGGAAGAGAACCATAAAATCTGAAGGGCTACATCAAGAGCTCAACAAATGGTAAAACATATCCAGTTCTTTCAAGGGAAGACTTAATTTTACAAACATATCAATTCTGCCCATATTATTATATACATTTAATGAAATTCCAGTTAAAATCTCTATGGTCTTAGAAAATTGAATTATCTCACATTTTATGTGAAAGAATAAATGTCCAAGAGACGCTAAGAAATGCAT